TCTTCTTCCTCCTCCTCCTCCTTCACCTCCTCCTCCTCCTCCTGCCTTCTTCTTCTTCTTCTTCTCCTCCTCCTCCTCCTCTTCCTTCTCCTCCTTCTCCTTCTCCTCCTGCTCTTCTCCTCTGCTTCTTCTCTTCTTCCTTTCCTCTTCCTCTTCTTCCTCTCCTCCTCTACTTATTATTATTTTTCTTCTTCCTTCCTTCCTTTATCCTCCTCTTCCTCTCCTTCTTCCTCTACCTCTCCTCCTCCTCCTCTTCCTCCCCCTTCTCCTCCCCCTCCTCTCTCCTGTTTGTGTATTTGTGTATTAGCATGAGTGGGGGAGGGTCTCCACAACCGACAGTCCTTCCAAGATCAAAACAATAATCAGCTAAATGAATTCTGCAGCATTTTCCCGCATGACCAGGAGTGATAATTTAGTGCAGCAGCCAGCTGGAAGAAAGGGGGATTAATTCTGCACTTACTGACGCCCCTGTGAATAATTCATCACGTGCAGAGCCCCCCCACCCCCTCCTCTCCCAAGTGCTTCTCCAGACAGCCTGGCCCCAAACCCTGGGAAGGGGGGGGAGGGGACCCTCCAGATGAAAAGAGCAAAAGAATTAACCCGCCAGGTGTAAATTTGGCCCCAAGTTGGAAGAAAGAACACAAAAGCATCATGGCTTCTTACAAGCTGAACGCTGGTCTTCTACAGGGAGTTTTCACTTAAGGACAGTTCAAAGTTAACCATGGCACCAAAAAAGTGACCAATGACCATTTTTCACACTTACGACCCCCCCCCCCCCCCATGGTCATGTGATCAAATTTCGGAGGCTTGGCCACTGACTCATACTGATGACGGTTTTGGGAGATGCAATGCTCCTTGTGTCCTCCTGAAGACCGCTTCCCGTCTTGCAAATTAAATTGTTCTGCCGAGAACAATTGTTGTTTGTGGGTCAAGAGTTGCCTGCACAATCATTGTGTTTTCCCCCTCTCTCTTTTCCTCTTCCCTTTCTTATTTCCACCCAGCATCCTTCCATGATGTAATTTAGCCCCGGCGAGCTGAAAGCGGTGCCTAGCTATGAATTGCTCTCAACCTGTGTTGTTTCAAGACTGCCAGCCTGCGGAGAGGAGAGAGGGAAGGCAGCCAGGGGGTGCTTTCCAAGGCCATGTCAAACATCATCTATATTCATGAAATGGGTTTAGGAGGCCCCGCTCTTTAGTCGAGTCGGTTGCCCAGCCGCCCGGGGTTTCTGGTGGTTTTACAGGGCTTGGATAGAATCACGAGGAGGAGATGGAAGGAAGCTTAATTCAATCCAGCCCCAGACCAGGCAGAGGTCTAACAAGATGGTAGGTTCAAAACAGCAAAAAAATTAGGGAACATTGTGTCACATCTGTTGTGCATTTCCCTCTGCAAGAATGCCTCTTTAGACAAATACCACATTTGCATAGCTTTCATATGCCGAGCGAGCCTGCACAAGCTTGGAAAGGCATCGATTTTCGAACAGAAGACGTGTTTCCAACGTGTACTGGCTGAATATGAATTATTTTGCTCCCGAGAAGAATTGAATTCCAAGCATGGCTACATGTAGAAAGTTGGGAAACTTGTTGCGTTATTCCCTTTTCTCCCGACACCATCCTGTCTCCCTTTCCTGGCTGAATTCTTAAACCGGATGGGACTAGGGTCAGATGAGATGGGGTAGTTTGTGAGTTGGCCTTTTGTGGTAACCCACTCGTAGCAGTGGCCTAAGACGCTGAGCTTGTCGATCAGAAAGGTCGGCAGTTCAGTGGTTCGAACCCCTAGCACCGTGTCATGGAGTGAGCTCCCGTTACTTGTCCCAGCTTCTGCCAATCTAGCAGTTCGAAAGCACATAAAAAAAGGCAAGCAGAAAAATAGGGGCCAATTTGGTGGGAATGTAACAGCGTTCTGTGCACCTTTGATGGCATTTAGTCATGCCGGCCACATGACCACAGAGACATCTTCGGACAACGCTGGCTCTTCGGCTTTGTAACGGAGATGAGCACTGCCCCTTAGAGCTGGAAATGAGACTAGCATGGATGTGTGAGGGGAAACTTTACCTTTACCTTTACTCGTAGCATTAACAAGAATTGGGCTATCACAATAAATGATAAAGTGGTTTATTTCATAATGTGTTTTCTTAACTTAGACCTAGAGTTTAATGTGTTGCGTGAACACCACACACACACTCTCTCTCTCTCCTCTCTCTCTCTGCTTCTCCTCTGTCTCAGTCTCTCTCTCTCTCTCTCTCTTTCTGTCTCTCCCTCCCTCCCCTCTCTTTCTCCACACCCCTATTTTTCCGAGATATGTGAAATTAAGGATGAGAACTATTCATTTTTCCAGTCCCATATGGATTACGACCACTTAAGGCCAAGGATTGACTGCAATCAAGACATTTGACATTCTGGTAGGAAGCGACCAAGCCTTTGTGAACGGCTGTTTCCTAACCTTACCTCTGAATTGACTAACTGAAGGCCAAGTTGGACAGTTGGGAGTCCACCAGATGTGGTTTTCATAGTGGTATCCTGGAGAAATAATAGGCAGAAGGCAAAACCAATTAACACAAATCCACACAGTAGGTAGAATTCGTTACTCACGTTTCCTTAGAAGAATTCTAAAGCCTTAATAAAATTGATTATGCAAGTTTCCTTCTTAATATTGTAAAATGGCTTGGCTGGAGAAAATTAAACAGCCAGCTAACCTAAGCTGTATTTTTTTTTAAAAGGAGATATTCAAAAAAGTTTTCAAGAAGCACAGGAGAACGAGAATTCTTCTCTATTTATCTCCACAAAGCAGTCATCAAAAGACTGGAAGAACTTCATTTGGTCATCCAGAGTTTCATTCATTCGTTGACTTATTCCAAAGACTAAGATGAACCCTCTTCTAAGACATATCCATGTCATTTAAGTTGACAGCTTGAGACAGAACCAATACCCTACTGTTCTAGAACAGTGTTCTCCAATCTGTGAAACTTTGAGATGTGTGGACTTCAGTCTCCAGAATTCCCCAACCAACATGGCTTTCTGAGAGTTGAAGTCCATATATCTCAAAATTGGCCCAGCAGGAAGAGAATGACCTAGAGCACAAATGTGATGTAATTCATCCATTAAAAAAAACAACAATATTATTCCAATATAATTTGATCCACCCATTCCTACCTGGATGGGTAGATTTTCTACCCTAATTCCACTTCGGCTACTATCTGCTGCAAGTTTTCGGTAAACTCGGTTGGTCAGTGGCAGCACGGAATAGCCTAAAAACTTTGATGTGCCTTCCAGATCTTCTCCTGGTGCTGGCAGTGTTGGAGAAGAACAAAGAGTGGTTTAGCTTCCCCTTACTTTGTAGAGGAATACAAAAGATAAAATAAAGCGAAGTGATTTGTCTTTCTCAGAATCTGCCAGTTTTAGACTTCAAATTCTTCCCATTCAGACTTCATTCTGGGTTTTAAAGTTGAGACTGAATGCATGGTTTCTACACTGAACCAATGTTTGGGAACCCTGGGCTAGGAGTGGACCTAGGATGAACGTTCAAAAATTAGTCTAAAATGTTCTGCATTGGAGACCTTTGCATCCTTAACCAAATGGACCCTTAGTTGGGATACCATTCAATGAGGCTTCTCAAAGAGTCCTTGATGCTCTCTGAGCTTGGTTGCTTTCTTGAAGACGTTGCATGACCCAACTAGGTAGCATCATCAGTGCTACAAGGGAGTGGGGTTTTTTTTTTAAATTTCTTCATTGTTAACTATACCCCAATCAAGGAACTACCAACTCAGACAAATAATCATTCAGTAAACCACAGCCTAATCCAGGAACCACCAAGACCACTCTCACCAAGACTGACAGGGCAAGCCACTTGTTAATAAACAGAGAGCAAACCCCACTCCCTACCAGCACTGATGATGTTACCTAGTTGGGTCATGAAATGTCCTCAAGAAGCAACCAAGCTCAGAGAGCACCAAGGACCCCACAGATCAACCCTGAGCTACAAAGACTCTTTTCCATCTTGTTAACTAAGTTTGAACTGATTATCTAGCTGCAAGAGGGTCTTCTATCAGCTCTGGACCCTACCTTAGATGCTGCCATGCCCTACAGCATGGTTCTTATGATGACCTATGATCTGGGAAAAGTTGGCAACCTTCTTGAGCTCATTCTCATCTCTTAGAAAGAAGATGCCAGTTCCTTGTTACACAGCACACCTGGGACTTACTCGATCTATAGTATTCAATGAGCAAGGCCGTATCATCTGAAAAAGCGGTAGCACCATCCCTTCCTTGAAACAGGAAGGAAGTATTCCACATGGGTTGTTCAGGAGGTCCGCCAAGCGAAGACACCTGAGGATTGGGGGAAAAAAAATAGGATGAAAACCCAGAAGGCACCCCAGATGATGAACATCAGGGTTGAATCAAGAAACCTTAATACACTGCTCGACTGAGTTCACACGGAGAAGAGTGCGAATCTTTCTAATAGCCTTCTGAAAAGGCAATAAAAAAATAAACAGGCAATAAAAAGGAGGAAAGCTTTACGTATTAACATAGCATAACAATTTTGCCATAAAATTTAATTGCGCAGGAAGCCAGAGATAAAAACAATTGCAGAATATCCTCCTTTTTCGGATCCCATATAGATGACTCCAAGAAAGAGTAGAGGGACCAGGGTGAGAGCAGATCAAAAGTCGAAAAAATCAAGGTTTCTCTTTCTTGGGTTCATCCAGATTTTTCCACCCTCAAACCCTACAAGAAGGAAGTGTGAACTCAGTCACCGTCATCTGTTTTTGCTCCTTAATAAGGAGAGACATTGTACTTCATCAGTTCACGATTTCTCTTTAACCCCTAAATTTAATACGGGTAATACTTGACTTAAAACCAGGTGGTATTTCAGCAGGTTCTGACCAGTTCTGGAGAACCGGTAGCGGAGATTTTGAGTAGTTCGGAGAACCGGCAAATCCCACCTCTGACTGGCCCCACCCCCATCTATTCTCTGCCTCTCGAATCCCAGCTGATTGGCTGGGTCTCCTTTTGTTGCCCTGCACAGGAGAACGGAGCTGTAAAGCAGGTTAATGGGGTGGGGAGGGAAGGGGGATTTTGCAGTAACCTTCCCCTGCCACACCCACCAAGCCAAGTCACACCCACAGAATGTCACACCCACCAAGCCATGCCCACAGCTGATTGGCTGGGTCTTCTTTGGTTGCCCTGCACAGGAGAACGGAGCTGGAAAGCAGGTTAGTGGGGTGGGGAGGGAATGGAGATTTTGTAGTATTCTTCCCCTACCACGCCCACCAAGCTACGCCCACCAAGCCACACCACACCACACCCACCAAACCACAACCCGCCCACCAAGCCACGCCCACAGAACTGGTAGTAAATTTTTGTTGAATCCCACCACTGCTTACAATCATCCCTTTAAGGGACCATTATTTCAGATTTCATTTGATCTACATATTTTACAGGAACGGATCTATTTTGCGCATTAGGGATTTCTTTGTGTATCAGAAGGCTGCTGGCCTTCAACATTCAATGTCCCAGAACTGGGCAATGTAGTTTCTGCCCAAAAGAAATATACACGAGAAGAAAATTGCAATACCAATGTCCGGATTGGGGAAATTTGCATTGTTATGCCTTCTTTTCTCCCCCCCACTTTTTTTTTTTTTTTTTTTGGGCAGGAAGATCCTGCAGCCTGACTGAACTGACTTCGAAATGAGTAAACACCAATCTGTATCGGCCAAATATTGATTAAACGATACATCCCCAGCAATCAAATGAAATATATTAGAAAAGCAAACGCATACAGGCAATTAGCAAATGAAGCGTGCATTCTCTTCCCTCTCCCTCCAGCCTGGAAGGAGGGGAATGAGCCGGAAGAGAGAAATTCTTGCTTACATTCGGATCCACGCATACATATGAACCCAAAAGCTGGGTTCACGCAACATGCTTAACAAAGGCAGATATAACGGCTGGGGTTGCATGCACAAGAGCTGCTACTCTTTGGTTACGACTGAATTATTTTGTTCATTTTTCTCTACCAGTAGGTTGGTGATTCCTTGTGTGGCACAAACCCAGATATAATGGGTTAATCAGACTGCGTATATTGATTAAACATAATGTGTCTCTCTTCCTCCCCTTCTCTCTCTCCTCCTCCCTCCCTTCCTCTCCCTCTCTCTCTTTCTCCCTCCCCCTTCCCCTTTTTTCCTCCCTCCCTCCCTCCCTCCCTCCCTCTTTCTCCATCTCTTCCTCCTTCCTTCACTCTCTTCCTCCCTCCCTCCCTCTCCCCCTCTTTCTTCATCCCTTCCTCTCTCACTCTCTCCTTCCTTCCCACTTTTCCCTCCCTCCCTGTCTCTCTTCCTCCCTCCCTCCTTCCCTCTCCCCCCACTTCCTCCCTCCCTCTCTTCCTCCCTCTCTTCTCCTTCCTTCACTCTCTTCCTCCCTCCCTCTCTCCTCCTTCTCTTTTTCCTCCCTCCCTTTCTCTCTTCTTCCCCCTCTTTCTCTCTCTCTCTCTCTCACACACACACAACCCAGAGTTTTCTTAGGCAGAACACTAAAGGAACATCATTACTTATTCATTTAATAATAGCATTTACATACCTCCAGCCCTCACGAGGACTTCCAGTGATTTACAAAAGGCTGGGACATAAAATCCATACAATCATAGCCCTCGATGATTAAGTCACAGGCATAACCCCAAAGGTTATCCTCCACACTCCCCCTCTTTCTCTCTCCCCAATTCCCAGGCCAGCCTGGAACTCAGACATCCCAGCCAAATGTCTTCTGACAACTTTAATACCGTTGAATTGTTGAGGTCCATTGAACTGTTGAGGTCAATGCTGCAAAAACTCAACTAATAGCCACTCCGACCAACTCATCTGGAATCCAGCTCCTGTTGGGTGAGTTTTTTTCCGATGATAGAAAAGATTATGGAGGCCAAGGGGTCCTGGGCCATATTCTAACCAAGCACGATCATGATCAATCCATCAGAAGAGAGCTAGAAGGGATTTTGGAGGTCTTTGAGTCCAACCCCCTGCCCAACCTAGAACATAAGGAGAATTTCCTGACAATGAGCACAATGGATCAGTGGAATGGCTTGGCTCCGGAAATTGTGGGTGATCCAACCCTGGAGATTTTCAACAAGAAACTGGACAGCCATTTGTCCAGAATGGCATGGGATCTTCTGCAGGGGTGGGATTCAAATTTTTAACAACTGGTTCTGTGGGCATGGCTTAGGTAGTAGGCATGGCTTGGTGGTCATGTGACTAGGTGGGCATGGCTTGGTGGTCATGGGACTGGCTGGGCATGGCCAATTCAATATCACTCACATCGAGGCATGCATATCTCCTCGCCTGGCCTCTCGTGACTGTGGGGATGCTGCAACAGTCGTAAGTGTGAAAAAGGGTCATAAGTCACTTTTTTCAGTGCCATTGTAACTTTGAATGGTCACTCCAGACAAGCGAAGTACCAGCAAAGGGGGAAAAAACTCCAGAGACGTTCCAGAGACAGGAAGTCTAGTCCTGCCAAGAACGTAATAAGGGTTAACGGAGAGGCAGTTTCTGTAAGCAACACCAGAATGTTTCCTTCCTGCCTTCCTTACAGGATTAGTCCAGTAATTTCTTCTAACAACCGGTTCTCTGAACTGCTTAGAATGTTAACAACTGGTTCTAACGAATAGGCGCGAACTGGGACAATCCCACCCCTGATCTTCTGCCATGAGCAGGCGGTTGGACTAGAACAGGGGTCTCCAACCTTGGCAACTTTAAGACTTGTGGACTTCAACTTCTGGGAGTTGAAGTCCACAAGTCTTAAAGTTGCCAAGGTTGGAGACCCCTGGACTAGACTATCTCCAAGATCCCTTCCAACCTTGTTACTCTATGTTCTATCCAATGGAACCTTGGTGAAAAATGATGCCGAGGACTCAAAGCTTTATTGACACACTTTCTAGGCAACTCCTGTTCCACTGACTCATCGCTTCAGAGATATTGGTGAATATCCCAAAGAGAAGGAGACTGTATTGCAGTGTTTCTCAACCTTGGCAACTTGAAGACTTCAACGTCCAGAATTCTCCAGAAATCATACAAGGTTGTGTGGATGGCTGAACGTAAGCTTTCTGGCTTTCTTTCGCTTTTTGCTTTTTTTAAAAAAAAAAATTATTTTTGCAACCCTTTGCTTGCCTGAGGACAGACAAGCCGATGGCATTTCACAGCATCACGGCTTGATTGCCTTAAACTGGGATTTGAGTGAGTTTCCATGTAGATCTTGAGGCTATTGGGTGACTGATCAGCGGAGTAATGAAAGGAATTACCGTTCAGAAATGGATCCTACGGCTCAGCACGGACACCCGAGGGTTAAACAATCGACTGAAAAGGACATAGGAAGAAAGATTGTGTGTGGGTTGGAGTAGGGGGGGTTGGAGAGAGAGAGAGGGAGGGAAGGAGGGAGGGAGAGAGAGAAAGAGCTTGGACATGATAGTTCAATTCCCCCTGAGGATTAATTTGTAATTCAATTGCTAAGTGCAATCGTGATGCCCAGAAAGTGTAATTTACGGTATGTAAAGCAAACCGCTTGGGTTGGGGTGGGATTAACCCCATTCGTGTCTCTGCCTTCTCTACCCCGACGACCTCTTGCTGCTTTGAAGGCTGCAGATGGGAGCATTTAGAAATTGTGCCTTTTTTGGGGGGGGGGCTTTCCACCCTTGTTTGATTCCAACTCTATTGAAGAGATCAGCCTACCCGTCACAGTTATAAAATACGTACGAATAATGTCCATGAAGAACGGTCGCAGGAATTTGGCTAGTCTAGTCAAAAGAAGGACTAGGGATGACATGATAGCAGTCTTCCAATAACAGAACAGAACAATGGGACAGAATACCAGAGTTGGAAGGGACCTTGGAGGTCTTCTAGTCCAAACCCCTGCTTGGGCAGGAAACCCTATACTATTTCGGACAAATGGTTGGCCAGTCTCTTCTTAAAAACTTTGGTGAGGGAGCACCCCAACTTCTGGAAGCAAGTCACTGATTAATTGTTCAATATTTTGAGGGGCTGCCACAAGGAAGAGGGGGGTCAACCTGTTGTCCAAAGCATTTGAAGGCAGGACAAGAAGCAACGGATAGAAATTTGAGGTTTTCAAGAAGAGATTGGACTGCCATTTGTCAGAAATGGTGTAGGGCAGGGATGGCGAAACTTTTTGGCACCGAGTGGTGCATGTATGCATGCCAGAGTACCAGAAACCCAAAGACCAGTTGGCCGGTGCACGCATGCCTGTTTTGGGGGCATTTGGGGGGTTGTTTTGGGCTGTTTTTCAGACCTTTTACAGGCCATTCTCAGGCCATTTTTTGGGCCTGGAAAACGTTCTGTTTTTGGGGTGTTTTTCGGGCCATTTTCTGGACCAGCTGGCTGGCACACATATGCAAGAGACCAGAAGAGCAGCTGGCAATGGTGCATGTGACCACAGTGAGGGCTCTGCATGCCACCTCTGGCACGCGTGCCATAGGTTCGCCATCATGGGTGTAGGGTCTCTCGCTTGGGTGGCGGGGTTGGACTAGATGACCTATATCACACTACTAACTGGAGCATACAAAACATTTGCTAGACCTATGCTTGAATACAGTTCATCAGTCTGGAACCCATATCATGTATGTGATATTAACACAGTTGAGAAAGTCCAGAAATATTTCACAAGAAGAGTTCTCCACTCCTCTACTCGTTGCAGAATTCCTTATGCCACCAGACTTGAAATTCTAGACCTAGAAAACCTTGAATTACGCCGCCTTCGGTCCGATCTAAGTATAGTATATAAAATCATACCTTGCAATGTCCTACCTGTCAATGAATACTTCAACTTCAACCATAACAACACAAGAGCAAACAATAGATACAAACTCAAGGTTAATCGCACCAAACTTGATTGCAGGAAATACGACTTCAGCAACAGAGTGGTCAATGTCTGGAATACTCTACCTGACTCTGTGGTTTCTTCCCCAAACCCCAAAAACTTTAACCTTACACTTTCTACTATTGACCTCACCCCTTTCCTAAGAGGTCTGTAGGGGGCGTGCATAAGCGCACCAATCGTGCCTACCGTCCCTGTCCTATTGTTTCTTTTATTTTTCTTATAAGTATCTATCTCATGTATTCAAAATTATATTTATTCTTATACCTGTATCTTGTAAGGCGATTGACCAATCAAATAAATACTACAAATACTAAATACTATAAGGTCCCTTCCAACTCTGATTATCTGTTATCTATTAAACTAATCAAGGAGAGAACCAAGCTAGAATTAAGGGTAAATTTCTTGACAACAAGAACAATTAATCAGTGGAACAATTTGCCTTCAGGAATCGTTGGTGCTCCATCACTGGAAGTTTTAGAGAATAGATTGGACAGCCAATTGTCTGAAATGGTATAGGGTTTTTTTCTTGAGCAGGGGGTTGGACTAGAAGACCTCCAAGGTCCCTTCCAACTCTGGTATTCTGTTAAAAGGGACAAAAATCATCACCCATCGGTGTCCTTTCTCTTGGATTTGCTGAGAGCAACTGCACAGGGCTTTCCCAAAGCTGTATTTAAATGAAATTCAAGGTCTGGAGGTCAGCCTTGTGATTCAATTTTGCTCTTTCTTCGGAGATTGAATTTTGCTTCCTCTGCGCAGATTCAATTTTGGTTTTTTTTTTCCCCCTTCACAGAAGAGCTACACATAGTCACCTACAGCCCTCCTCCTCACCGTGAGTAGCCTGCTTGGAGAAAATAGACTGAAATAGAAAAATCCAACTGAAATCGAAAAGGAAGCCCTGGCCTGGAGGTTTTCTATCCCTACTCCCAAGTAGCCCGTGGTCCCTGTTGCAAAACCAACGTTCATTTCAGGTCTTTAACAAAACTGTTAGAAAGCAAGGGAAGGGAATATATTTTCACAGTCCAGATGGCTCCACTAAATCATTTATAACACCCTATCGACATCCTGTATAATTTTTTCTTCTTTTTCGCCAACTCCAACTGGCAACGTGCCTCACTGGAGGATTGTCAGTCGAATCCGGATGGAACAGGGACTTCCCTTCCTTTCTCTTCCCCCACAGGAACTAATATTCATGAACCTAGGACCTACTTCTTGCTGTCCTTATGTTCTACTCGTGGCTTCCTGTGGGCCTATGTGGACAGCTTTTAAAAATATCTCTCCCATCACTTCTGCAACTCAGTCAAGCTCCAAAGAGTGGCAAGAATATCTCTGGATGACATTAGTCATGATGGATGTCCAGCATTCTACATTGTCTTAAGAATACAGGAATAAATTCTCCACCAACAACTTTGTAACTCTGATGGAAAGGAGTAAAGAAGTAGAGCCCTAGGAGGGAGGGGTGTAGTTGTTCTGACCCAAACCTTTGTCCAATAAAACAAACAGGAACCAAAGGAAACAGAATCCTTTTAATGATTCTTACAAATCCCCAGTTAAAAGGCTGCTGCAAACTAATTAACTTTGATAAGTGCGAGCCTCGCCAAAACTGTGCGAGGCTGCCAAAAATAACAGATAAGAAAAATTTCACAACACAAGAGTCTTCAAATACCAACTTAAGATACTGTAATATCCACGAGGCTGAGTTTCAAAACGTCTTTGCTTCCTGCAAAGAACGTTCACTTCACAGCTGGCTTATCTTCTTGAAGGAGGGGCCATTACCTTTCAGCCTTATTCCTGAGTTGCCCGTGCTGTTGCAGCTGCTCTTTCATGCGAGCAACCCTGCGTGCACACGCACTTGGCACAGGCTCCTCGGGAACCTCCTCATTGCTACTGCCAACCCCCACAATCTCTGAAGACAGCAGTCCACTCCCTGATGGTCCTGGCCTCTCATCTGAGTCTTCACTCTCCTCAGCCGTCTGCACCTGCTGCCAGCTAACCACAACAATAGTCCAGAACAGTACAAAGCAACTCAGTCTGGAAATTATGTGTGTGAGAAAGAGGGTGAAGAGAGCCTCTCCTTAATAGTTTCCCAGAGTACATTGTAGATGCAGATAGTAGACTCCTTAATCTGGCAAGATTCTGTCTATAGGTGTAAAACAACTAAGAACTCAGCCTGGAGTTTCACTCTTGGTTTTGAGCTTGACATCAACCCAACACAACTGCATCATAAACCAGTTCTTTGTTCTTCTCCGTGTCTTTTCCCAACTCTAAGTCCCTGGGTTCCATCAGCCACTCAGCCAGATCTTTTCTCTCCCTCTTTCTCCTACCTGTGGATATCCATGGTTGTTGACTCGAGGGACATCAAAATCCTCCATTACAGGATCTGGGAAATTCACCACGGTCAAGGGAACGGCAGGAGCATCAGGTAACCGAGCTTGCATCTTCTGTCTTTAAAAAGAATGAAAAGGACAGAAGGGTCATTTGTTATCCACAGCTTGGCGCCATTTGGTTGTTAACGAGAAGATTCTAATTACACCATAATCCCAGACCTGTAGACATCTTCTCAAAAGGTAATCCTGTACTACTCAACAGGGCTCCTTGTGCCACACAATGTAGGCTGCTCTCCGAAGTCAATTCCACGAAGCTAAAAAAATTCCAGGCAAGTCCTGGTTGCAAGATACATTCGTGGCCTTACACAATTTTTGACTTTTCTGACTCAATCTCTGGGCAGAAAAATTAGAAGAAGATAGTTATATCACATGATTCAGAAAACCAGAGAGCTTGGAGCAAATCATAATCGTCCCCATTCATGTCATTTATAGGTCAACTTTCTTAGAAAACCTTGCTGCTTCTTCTCTGGATCTTCAGGAAGTTAGTACACAATCCCAATGAGATTGCTACCTGACACATGCGCATACATGCACAGATTTATTACTCACACGTAGGCTCCAAGGTTATTCACTATTCTAGCAACGGCTTTGACTTTGCCACCAGGCTGTGCAAGAGGTTCATTGATCCCTTTGAGGAAAACCTAAAATTGGAACAAAAAAGGGAAAAGATCAGGAACAGATTCCCAAAGCACTGTGGGAAGGAATATTCCCTGAACTCTTTCCCTGTAGAATTGTGTCAATTGGAGTTTTTTAAATCAACCATGGAAGTCCTTCTTTAGAACTCTTTGAAATTCAGTTTCTTTCGAAGACCACCAAGTTCTTTAAGTGGTCAAGAAATGGTTCTTTGTAAAGTAAACAACCATTTTTTGACCAGTTAAGGATGCTTCATATCACATACATTTCAACACCAAAAAAAGCAATAGTCAAATTTCTCATTTTTTTTTTAAAAAATCACATGTCTAGTTCCATTTGACTTATTCATGAAGCTCTCTGACCCATCTCCCCAATGGCCTGGATTTAATAATTTTTTAATTCCTTGTTCTGGCCCTCACCTCCAGCCCTGTGTAGTTCACTCCGGCATAGCGTGGGATGAGGCTACGTTTACGAATGATGGATGCATATAACTTGGTTCCTGTTTGGTCCTTCTTCCGAGGCTGTTTGAGGAAAAACCAAAAACCAGAAGGAAAAGAGATTGAAAGGTACAAACGAGACAATAAACCAAGCAGAAGGAGGCTTACGGGTTGTTCTTGAGATGGCTCGAAGGAACTGTAATTGATAGGTAAACCAGGAGCTGTTCATTACAGTTCATGCTACCCTGGAGAATCATCTAGAAAGTTCAATGCCATAAATTGCTCTGATTGGTGTAAAAGTAAATACAATAATGCTTCTATTTCTGGAGAAAGAATGGAAGTGGCTTTCAATTAAGCTAACATCAAAGATTTGGCTGTTGGGAAGGGTTATGGCCAGTAGATTCGACAATACAAAAGGGGAGAGCTCGTGTTATGATGGCACAAGACACCTTTTGCTGTTTTCTCATCATTGTGATTGGTTCCAGATGCCCACAGAACCAAAAATGTTTCATGCTTTGTCTGTGTTAATCTCTGGTGATCAGTGGATATCTAAGCAGTGTTTCTCAACCGTGGCAGCTTGAAGAGACGTGGGCCTCAATTTCCAGAACTCCTCAGCCAGCAAAGATGGCTGGGGACTTCTGGGAATTGAAGTCCATGCTTCTTTAAATTGCCACGGTTGACAAACACCAATTTAGAAGAACTGTCATTCTCTCTCTGCAGAGGTTTCTAAGGTAAGGTTGGACAGATGTATTCTGGAGATGATGAGGCTCTGGATTACTTAGATTAAGTAGAAGACGTCCGTGGTTTATAAACCCCTCCAGTTCTATAGATTTATTTCACATTGTGTTCTCTCCCTTTCAAAATTCTGTACCACTTGATTATCCTAACTTATCCAGAACTGTGCCACAATACAAAGAAGCGTGAAATTGAATGGAAGGCACCACTCGTTGTTTTGAAATATGCAGATCAACCAGTTTTCTACATAAAAATCCAGGAAGAGTGAATTCTTTACCTATTTCTACACAGAACGGGATTGTCACAGTGTGGCTTAGCGTCTGCAAACAAGGGGCCACAAGACCGAAACCTTTTAATTGTCCCGTTTTTAATTATCAGTAAAGCACTAGTCTTTAAAAGCTTCCATAAAGGTTAGAATCACAAGCAATCCAGCCCTATAGAAATACTGGGAGGCTGACGTTAAGATGAACACAAATGGATTCCTGAGCCATCACCAGACAGCTAATCATTATCATGTCATCAATACAAGCACTTTCCTTTTTTTTTAAAAAAAAATCCGTCTTTGTGCAAACGGGTAAAGGTGTAAAGGTCGAATTTTTTTATTTTTTTTTGAGATGTCAGAAAGAAGAATTTGCAGTTCCATTCTGTACAGCACAATGGCTTCAAGAAACCATGCATGTTTGCATTTAGGGGTTTTAAATTTTAGCATTCCAGGATGAATGGAAATATGTGGGTATCCATTCTCAGATGATGCAAGGGAATGGGACTGGGGTTTTTCTCTGTTTGTTCTACAGTTTCAACTTGGAACAAAAGGCAAACCTGGGGAAATGACTCAAGCCCAGACTGGATTTCATTGAGGTATTCTGTGAGGCCTTCCTTTCTCCTTTAAATTTCCCATTTTTTTCTTTTTTTCTTTTTCTTTTCTTCCTTTTTTTTGGGGGGGTGGGGGGTATACATCTTCAATCTCAGAACACACTCAATTGTTCGTCGCATTTCTCAAATACCCCTTGAGTTTGCTACTATAAAAAGAGCAAGCAGTATTTGGTGGAAGGAAAACTGGACACGTATTTTAGATAAATGGAGGTTAGATAGAACAATAAAATAATGGGATAGTAGAAGGCTAGGAAAATGGATAGATGAATACAAATAATGCAATACTGATAGAACAATAGAATGATAGAACAATTGGTACAATGACTGATTGATTGATACAGTAGTTATACAGATGTAGAGAAAGCCAGTCAAAGAAAGAAAGCAAGAGATGATACAGAGATAGAGATAGATAGATAGATAGATAGATAGATAGATAGATAGATAGATAGATAGATA